AAAGCACTGTACAAATTCAGTGCAATCCCTATAAGGATACCCATGACATTCTTCAAAGAAATGGAGCAAACACTCCTGAAATTTATATGAAACAATAAGCCCCCACGAATAGCTAAAGCAATTCTTGGGAAAAAGAAAATGGGAGGAATCAACCTACCTAACTTCAAACTCTACTACAAGACAGTAATAATTAAAACAGCATGGTACTGGAACAAAAGCAGAGCTGCAGACCAATGGAACAGAGTTGAGTATACTGACATTTCTTCCCAAGCATATAATCATCTAATCTTTGATAAGGGGGCAAGAAAAGTGAAATGGAGCAGGGAAACCTTTTCAATAAACTGTGCTGGCAAAATTGGACGGCTACATGCAAAAAAGTGGGCTCAGATCTTTGCCTAACACCATGCACAAAAGTAAGATCAAAATGGATTTATGACCTCAACATCAGACCAGAATCCATAATGTTTATTGAAGACAAAGTCGGCAAAACTCTCCATGATATTGAAGCTAATGGTATCTTCAAAGATGTCACGCCACTGGCCGAGCAAGTGAAAACAGAGATAGACAAATGGGACTACCTTAAACTAAGAAGCTTCTGCACCTCAAAAGAAACAGTGACCAAAATACAAAGACAGCCTACAGAATGGGAAAGAATATTCACCAAGTACACATCCAACAAGGGGTTGATATCAAGGATATACAAGGTACTGGTTAAACTCCACAAGAAGAAATCACCCAACCCCATCAAAAAATGGGGTGAGGAAATGAACAGAAACTTTCGCAAAGAAGAAATTCGAATGGCAAAAAGGCACATGAGAAAATGCTCCACATCACTAATCATCAGAGAGATGCAGATCAAAACCACAATGAGATATCATTTCACACCACAGAGACTGGCCCACATCCACAAGAACAAAAGCAACCAATGCTGGCGCGGATGTGGCGAGAAAGGGACCCTCCTTCACTGCTGGTGGGAATGCCGGCTGGTCCAACCCTTTTGGAAAACAGTATGGACGACTCTCAAAAAATTAGAATTTGATCTCCCATTTGACCCAGCTATAGCACTCCTGGGAATATATCCCAGAGAGGCAAAAAGGTATAGTCGAAGTGACATCTGCAATTGTTTGTTCATTGCAGCACTCTTTACAATAGCCAGAATCTGGAAAAAACCTGAGTGCCCAAGAACGGATGACTGGTTAAAGAAACTTTGGTACATTTACACAATGGAGTACTATGTAGCTGTTAGAAAAGATGAAGTTATGAAATTTACATACAAGTGGTACTACAAGGAAAGTATCATGTTAAGCGAAATGAGTCAGAAAGAGCGGGATAGACACAGAAAGATTGCATTCATCTGGGGAACATAAAGCAACAAAAAGGGAGACCAACACCCAGGAATGGCTGAGATTAGTACCAGGAATTTTGCTCCATGAATGGTAGGCCAGCCACACGTTCTAGGTGAAAAGGAAGCTCAGATGGAGAAGAGAGCACCAAATGAAGGGTGTTGTGAGGACCCTCCCAGGGTAGGAGAAGCATGTTAAAAGTAGTCTATAGACCAAACATGATTGCCACTCAATGCCTCTCTTGCAAAATACAGTACCCAAAAGAAGAGAGAGAGAACAAGGGGGAATACCCTGCCACAGAGGCAGGATGGGATGGGGGGGGGAGGATGGGGGGGGGATGCTGGGACCCGTAGTGATGGATAACAGGCACTGGTGGAGGGATGGACACTTGATCATTGTATAACTAAAACCCAAGCACAACATTTGTAAGCCTATAACTGTACCTTATGGTGTTTCACTAATAAAAAAAAAGAAATAATAAAAAAAAAGAAACAACTCAGGAGGCTTGTTGATAGGAGAAATAATATTGGGATAAAAGGGTTGGTATTTACAGTCCTACACCATTCCTCAATTAACCCACTACAACCAGAGGGGAAATATGGGCTGAAGACTGAATCAACCTGCAAGAGTCAATGATTTGATTAACCACACCTACAACAGGACGAGGTTCAGAGAACATCCAGATTGATGAGTAGATTAGGATGCCAGGAAATGGCACACACATGAAAGTTCCATGCCATTTTTCCATACTTCGCCCTGTGGATCCCTTCCATATGACTATTCCAACATGGTAGTATTTCATAATAAATCAGCAATCTAGTGATTCTAGGTTTTCTAAATTTTGTGAGCCATTCTAGCAAAAACCTAAATAAATTAAAAAAAACTAAATTCCATTACTTCTTTATAATGTCTAGTCCCTAAATAATGTGCAAGAACCCTTACATTTATGGAAATATCAGCAAGTCAAAAGTAATAAGCTAAATACTATACTTCAATTTATGTTACTGTTAAGTTAAAATAAAGTATACTTCTATAAAGTTGGAAAGTTTACAAAATAAAAAAGAACTCCAGATTATCACTGAACCTTATAGTAATAATATAACTTTTAAATGATAGTATAAAAATTAATGTTGTGCACTTGTTACCCCATATACAACAACAGTATATTACTTCTGATGTGGAGATAAAATTCACATTTGAATAAGCGTTCCCAGATATGAACTATATGCATATAACATTCTTCAACATCAATGAAGGTAAAATACAAGTATTCTAATATCACAAGTTAAGAGGTTTATTGTTATCATTATTAACAAGATCACTAGAATCATCACTGCTTAAGAGTCAGAAATCTATGTAAACATCAACTTTCTCTCATAAAGTCTACTATTCATTCTAGTATGTTTCAAATTCATGGTTTAATTGTTTTTTCCTTTTTTAGTGGGGCAAAGAACACACAACACCCTGCAGAGTTTAAGACTCACTCCTGGTTCTGTACTCAGGGATCGCGCTGGCAGGGCTCGGGACCATCTGTGGTGCTGGGTATGGATCCCAGGTCAGCACAAGCAAGGCGAGCACCCTACTTACTGTACTATCACTCCAGCCCAATGTTTAGTCTTTAAAAAAAAAAGAAAAGAAAATGGTAGCAAGGACAGAATCAAGGAGATCTGTGAGAGTTCCTGTGGCATCAATACAAAGAATGCATAAATTCTAAATGAAGCACAGCATCCCACAAGGGATTCACAAAGATCATTTACTGGAGAAAGCAGCCATCATTGAAGAGAGAGATTCAGGTTTGTAGAACAAATAACTGCAGACAAGTCTAGAGCTACAGAGTGGGTCTCCTGGATAAGAGAGGGGGAGAAGCGTAATCTGAAAGAGTAGAAACCAGAAGGTCCAACAGACTGGCCATGGACAGACACACCAGCCATGGGAGGGTGCCGAACATAAGGAACTTACTAAAACACATCAGTTTTCCATCAATCCTCACTACGTCAAAAACAGGCTCAGGGGCAACATAGTGGGACGACAAAGCCAGCGTGAGCAGGCTGCAGTTACTCCCTCGGTGAGCTGGGCCCAGCAGAGCAGGCTAGCAGCCTCGCTGCCAGGTTCATGCTGCGATCTAACCATTCAGGCTTCTCTCAGAGTTCAGTTTTGTATGGGAACTCAGGAACCAGTGAGTCTTGGGACATACTAAATCCAGCAAGAGCTGCAACCATACATACCTGGTCATGGCTGGGAACAGTCATGCCCAAGGTGAATCTCGCCAGTCCTGTCACAGCTGCAGCTTCCCCTAAGGGTCTCTGCTAGAACACAGTTTGGGCCCCACCCTTCAGGTTTGAGATGTCATGCAACCTGACCGATTTATAACCACAGCCAGCTCATAATCAAAGAAAGCTCCCCAAACTTAGATCTTCAATATCAGATTTAATCTCCAGCCTACAATGGAGTATGCCAAACATAAATGATCAAAAAAAAAAAGTTGAGTTTTGTGCCTTTGAGGAACATGTCAGAAAGAGACCAGGAAATGGCAACCAAGCACAAAGTGGGTATAGGTGTGGTCTCCCCAGGGCACAGATAGTCAGTCTTTGCAAAAGGAAAAAAAAAAAAAATCAACTAGAGCAGCAGCAGAGAGGAGACACCTAGGAGGTAGGTCCTGCCCTTCATCATATGATCAAAACAGCCACTCCCAAACTGGACCTGGCAAATGTAAAATCTTCTACAACTCTGAAGATCATTACTGAACAGTTGTGAATGGTACATATGACTACAATCTCCAGTCACTGTTGCCACATCAATTGTAAGACATCAGCAAAAAAAAAAAATCAACTAGAGCAGCAGCAGAGAGGAGACACCTAGGAGGTAGGTCCTGCCCTTCATCATATGATCAAAACAGCCACTCCCAAACTGGACCTGGCAAATGTAAAATCTTCTACAACTCTGAAGATCATTACTGAACAGTTGTGAATGGTACATATGACTACAATCTCCAGTCACTGTTGCCACATCAATTGTAAGACATCAGCAACTGTGAACCCCAGGCCAGAGTGTATGCCATCTAAACCTTGGCAATATACATGAAGACCCTCAAGACGTCACCAAAAAAAAAAAAAAAACCCTGCAGAAACTTTAAACAGAGACAGTAAAAGATCAGGCTATAAAATCAACACACAAAAAAATATGCTGCATTTCATATACAAATAATATATATAGTTCACAGGACTGCATGAAGGAGGCCCATGTGCAGTCCCCAACACTACATCGTGCCCTTAGCACCACCCGGAGAGACACTGACATCCAAGTAAGCTCTAAGCACTGTCAGGTGTGGCCCCAAAACAAACAAATGGAAAAGTAATAAGGGAAAGTAGAAAATGGTGCCATTCAAGACAACATGAATAGAACTTGAGGGCATTATGCTAAGTGAAATAAGTCAGACAAAGACAAATACTGTATGATCTCACTTGGATGTGGACTCCAAGAGGAGCAAAAACAAAAACAAGCTCATGGACACAGAGAATAGATCAGCGGCTGCCCCAAAGTGCCCTAAGTGGCTGGTGAGCAAAATGGGTAGAAGGGTCAAATTACTTACTATAATTAAATAAATAAGTCATAGAGATATAACCTCCCCCCCCAAAAAAAGGAAGAAAAATAACTTACTTGTTTTGAATATGGGTTAGGAGCTTCTCTTCGCTCTCTCATTAATCTCCAAGGAGTTATAACTTCATAAGAAGAGAGATGTAAGTTCTGCTGAAAGTCTAAAGAAAAGGGAGTGAAAAATACATAGAAAATGAACCTGAAGAGCTATGTGGTACCAAATTATAATGGAAATCAAAAGACGTATGGTCAAAGCATTATTGAATGGTGAAATAATTGTTGTACGAGTCATCCACATTTTACTTTAACACACACACATACAGTCTGGGGGGCCACAGTCAGCAGTGCTCAGGGCAGATTCCTGCTCTGCACTCCAGGGTCACTCCTGGTGGGCAGTGCTCTGGGGACAAGTGGAATTCCAAGGATTGAACCCAATCAGACATATGCAAGTCAGGTTCTGTATCCCTGTGTTATCACTCTACCCCCCTACATTCCCATATTAAAAAATATATATTTTATAAGTGCCAGAGAGATAGTGCAACCAGTCTGATTCACAGTACCACATCTGGTCCCCCAAGAGCCCGCAGGAATTATCCCTATAGGCACAGAATCAGGGGTAAGCCCTGAGCACAGCTGGGTATGGCCCCAAAACCCATATACATATATTATATTTATATTATATTAATATTATATATGTATATGTTAATAGTAATTTGTATTACATATTTATATATAAGTTATATATTATTTGTATATATAGTTTTACATGTATAAATAGCAATGTACTAAAGTAACAAAATACATTTCCTTTTAGGAAACAGTATGATCCAAAAGTATAGATACAGCAATCACATTCAGCTATAAACCCTAGGCTTTTATTTTTGAAACTGAATTAATTTTCATTTATTCTAGGGCAAACTCAAAAGGGTCCTAGGTTCTCTGGTTTTCTTTTTTAACAAATCCTAGCACATTACTAACAAAATAAAAATCTGTACATTTGCCATGATAGACTTGAAAGTGAAATGAGTAAGATATAAATGCAGATAAATATTCTAACATGAAAAAGCCCAAAACAAAACCAAACTCCAAAACCCAAACTTGGGAAGGGGGGGGGAGGTACATGTGTGTGAACACAGAGCTGGTTTGTTCACTAACTACTTTGGTGGCTGAGACCCTACAGGGCATTTCCCCCCCATTTCCAAATGTCATTGTTAGCCAAATCATTCTGGGTTTAACCTTTTTTTTTTTAATTTGATTTTTTTTGTTTTGCTTTTTGGGTCACACTCGGCGATGCACCGGGGTTATTCCCTGTCAGCGGCATGCAAGGCAAAGACCCTACCCGTTGTGCTACCGCTCCAGCCCCTCTTTAAGATTTGTTTAATTCCATTTCCTTCCCTTTTGTTATTGTTGTCTACTTACTGCTGCAATGCCTGGGCTGGAACACCAGCGACCCCAAGCAGGTCCTGGCCATGTTCGGGGCACCAGAAGTACCCCCTCGTTGCTCAGAAGCCTGCGGCTACACAGGTACTGCTCATTGGGGTGTAGAAGGCATGCATAGGGCATCAAACACAAACCCTGTGCATTCAAAGCATGGCACCCTGAACACACACACAAACACAAACACAAACACACACACACACACACACACACACACACACACACAGTGCTAACTACTTGGTCCGCTTCAAAACAATAAAACATGAGGGTTTTGAAAAAAAAAAGTTTCTGTGGGAAACATTTGATGCCTCGCATCATTCACTCAGATCCCATGTCCCAGATTCCCACAACATGAATGAACTCCCCAGAGATGGCGAGGCACCTCCAGAATGGACAAGGAAAATGACAGAGGAATAATGCCTGAAGGATTAGCTCTAGTAAACACACAATTCCATAACAATTGTCTCATAAAACTACTGTCATCAATCTATCATAAAGACAAAAAGCTTAGCTCATAGTATCCTCTGCCCATGTTATAGTTTAGTTTAGTCTGTTGGTTTTTTGGGTTTGGGGTTTTTTGGGGGGGGGGTTTGTTTGTTTGTTTGTTTGTTTGTTTTGGGGTTGTCCCTGCTGGTGCTTAGGAATACTCTAGCCTAGTGCTCTGGGGCTACTCCTGTGGTGTTCAACAGTTCATGTGGTTCTGGGACTCAAACCCAGGTCTCCTGCCACCAACGCATACACACTAGATCTCCAAACTATTTCCTTTATTCTCAGCCCATATTCTGATCAGACATTTTTTCTAATTGTATGAGTCCTTTATATATTTGGGGTATCACTTTCTTTATATATTGTGATAAGCAAATATTTTCTCTCACTAAGTAAGTTCTCTTAATTTTGTTGATGGCTTGCTGTGCAAAAGCTTTTTAGTTTGATAAAGTCTCTCTTTAAATTTTTCTTTTATTGCCTTTGCTTTTGGTGTAAACAGTGGAAATATAACAAGTGAGGTGTGATTCTAAAGTCATCACTTGAGCAAATTTGAGTATAATCAAATTTGTGCATGGCAAATCCATATGTCGGATTCACCTGCACTGGTACCCAATTCAGTCTCAGTATCTCCAACACAATCTCATAAATGCCAATAGCATGTCAATTTTTGCAGTGAACTTGAAGTAGATAGTCACCATCTAAGGTCTGTGAATGAAAAAAACTCTAGCTCTACATATGAAAACTACGTTCAATACAAGGTATTCTGAGAACAGAACATACAAAGAGAAAGCTGATAAACAGGGTCTGACTCTTCAGTGAAACAATAATAAAGGAAACAAATACACTGAATGAAATTTCTTCCAAAAATGTCTTGAAGAGAGACAAAAGGGAACTTTCATAAGTTAAAAGACTCTAATAACCAAATGGAACATACGGACATGTTTGGCTTCTCATTCAACTAAATCAGGTAAATAAAATAAAATGGGAAAAAATTCTGAGACAATCAGAAAAAAATTAACACTTTAGATATTAGGGCTGGAGCGATAGCACAGCGGTAGGGCGTTCGCCTTACAGGCGGCTAACATGGCCGACCCGAGTTCGATTCCTCCGCCCCTCTCGGAAAGCCCGGCAAGCTACCGAGAGTATTCAATATGCCAGACACAGTAACAACAAAGTCTCCAATGGAGACGTTACTGGGCCCGCTCGAGCAAATCGACGATCAACGGGACGGCCTTTACCTTTACCTTTAGATATTTGACTTTTGGAGGAATTACTACTAATGTGTGGGTATGGTTCTCCTTTAAAATTTCTGTCTTCAAGTTTCGTTTTGAATATTCAGAAAAAAAATTAAATGTCTAAATGTCTAACACTTACACCAAAACAATGGTTGGAGAGATATGACAATGGGTAGGGCACTTGCCTTGCATGTGACCCCGGGTTCAATCCCCAGGACCATATATGATCCCCAAGTCCGCCAGGAGTAATCCCTGAGCACAGAGCCACTCAGGAGTAACTCCTGAGCACTGACAGGTGTGGCCCAAAATTCAAAAAATAAAACATAGAGTTTACTTGTAGCAGGGGATACATAAGTACTTCTATTAAAAATGTAGAAGGGCAGGCAGAGACACAGTACACAGATTAAGGTGCTTGCCTTGCATGCAAGTCATCCCATTCAATCCCCAGCATCCCACGTGGCCCCAAGCACTACGAGTAGTGACCTCTGAGCACAAAGTCAGGAGTTGGGTCAGGACCACTGGGTGTGATCAAAAACACAAAATCAAAAATACAAAACTAGGGCAATTTGCACAACGGTTAATTACTCTCTTCTCTAGTCTCATGTATGTCTAAAATTTTCCATAAGAGTTTTCAGTTAGTTAGCTATGAGAGAGGAAAAACTTTTACTGTCTATACAACTCCATGTGAAATAATAATTGTATATATAACAGGATAAAATGTGACAAATAAACAGAAATATCATACACAAATGTGCCAAACTTATTTAGTTACTATGATGGAATAGAATTAGCAGTAACGAAATTTGTATTTTAAGTTTCCTACATGTCTATTGTTTTTCATTTCACATATATAGTTTGGATTTATGGGATTTTGTTCTTTTTAGGTTCAGGGGGCCATACCCAGTGTTACTCAGGAGCAACTCTCAGCATGGATTGTTACTCAGGGTCACTTCTAGCAGTAACTGTGGGACGATGCAGTGCCAGGATTGAACCCAGGCTTCCTGCGTGCAAATGTTGCACAGACTTTGACTTATCTCCTCAAGCCTGAATTTGTTTTCTGTTTACTTTGGCTTGGTTTTTGGTGGGGTCATAAGCTGGCAGTGCTCAGGAGCTACTCACGGCAGTAATCAGGGGATGATATGATGCAGGCATCAAACTCATGCTCTGGCAGGCCAAGCATTCACTCGATCTTCTGAGCTCTCTCTCCTGGTCCTCTGAATGTGTTTTTATACTGAGTATGCACTTTGTAGCCCTACATTATTTGATATATGAAAGGGAAGTGTGTTTATTATTATTTCCCCCCGCTTCCTTCCCTCCATTGACACAGCTCTTGAGATGACCAGAGGTCACGCACATGTTTGGCTGTGCTGCTTGTGCTTTTATTTCTGTTCTAGAGGATGCAAGTCAGGTAGCAGTACTCACGCGTCTTTTCAGTTGCGGTGCTAGCCAGAGGCTGCACCCCTTTAGTGCGGTGTGATGACATACCTAGCTGCAGAGCACACAGAACCCATGTGTGGAGAAGGGATCACAGGCAGCAGTGCTGCCAGGGATGTTCACCCCAGTGGGCAATGCCAGGGAGCAAGCATGTGGCCCCACACTGACAAGGCTGGCTCCCTCGTCAATGAGCCATCTTCAAGTTTAGAAATTGTGGTTTTTAATTAAAAATAAAAAAAAGAGCGAGGGGCTAAAGAGATAGGCTGACCTGGGTTCCATCTGGTTCAATCTCTGGAATCCCATATGGTCTACTTCAAAACTGCCCGGAATGATTCCCGAATGCAGAGCCAGGAGTGAGACAGACTCCTGTCATGCATGAGGCGGACCTGAGTTTGATCCCTGGCACCACATACAGTTCCCCTGAGCCCCACCAGCAATGATCACTAAGTACAGAGCCAGGAATAAGTTCAGAGCAGTGCTGGGTGTGGCCCGAAAGCCAAATAAATGTTTTAAACATTTAAAAAAGCAAGGACTAGAGAGATAGTACAATGGGTAAAATTCTTATTTTG